TCCAGTTCCAGGGGATCTGACATCCTCTTCTGTCCTCCATGGGCACTGCACGACACAGGTGCACTTACCTACATGCAGGCAATACACACATACACATAAAATAAATATTTTTAAAAAAGATTATGCTGAATGAAATATTACACATTATATGATTTCATTCACATGAACTTTTGAAAAAAGTTAACTAACCTAAAATGAAAAAATCAAGATGGTGAATACCCCAAGGAGGGGGTGACTAAGAAGGAACATGTGGAAACTTTCTGAGGTCATGTTCTGTATCTAAATCTTAAAGGGCTTTGGGAATGCATCTGTCAAAAAAATAAAAAATGCATCTAATGAGCTAGGTGTGGTGCTACAGGCCTGTAAACCCAGTACTCAGTAAGCTGAAAGGGGAGGATCATGAGTTTGAGGATAGCCTGGTCTACATAGCAAATTTCAGGTCAGCCTGAGATATATATAGCAAAACCCTGTCAAGAAAAAAAAAAATGGGGCCATTCAAATGGCTCAGAGAGTAAAGGCCCTTGCCACCAAGGCTGATAAGCTGAATCAGGATCCATATGGTAGAAGGTAAGAACTGAATCTAAATTCATTGTGTATAATTTTTCTTTAAGAAATCCTGCAAACTAGGCTGGGTGTGGTGGCACACACCTTTAGTCCCAGCACTTGGGAGACAGAGGCAAGCAGATCTTGTGAGTTCGAGGCCAGCCTGGTCTACATAGTGAGTTCCAGGGGCTACAGGGAGACCCTGTCTCAAAAAGACCAAAAATAATAATAATAATAATAAAAAGGAAAGAAAGAAAAGAAATCCTGTAAACTAATATGGTGGGATTAAAGGCATGTACCACCGCACCCAGCCAAGAAGGCTAATTTGAAATGCATTTTATTTCAAATTCTGCTATGGAATTCTTTCCCATATTCTAAGTAGAGCTTAGTTACTATAACTGAACAATATTTAAAAATAATACAGGATTGGGGGCTGGAGAAATGGCTCAGTGGTTAAGAGCACTGGCTGCTCTTGCAGAGGACACAGATTCAATTCCCAGCATTACACGATGGCTAACAATGGTCCATAACTCTAGACCTAGGGGATCTGACGGCCTCTTCTGGCCCCTGCATGCACTGCATGATACAGGTATACTTATATACATGCAGACAAAACACAAAAAATGAAAAAATAAATTAAAAAAATACAGGATTGGTCGTGTAGCTCAGTGGTAGAGTGTCTGCCTAACACGTGCAAGGCCTTAGATTCAGTCTTCCATATCACAAAATTTAAACATATATAATATATAAAATTATAGTTATTGCATATAACATGAGTATATATAATACATTAATATATAATAATAAAATAACAACATTATAATCTCTGCATCATGATTTCAAACATAATTATTTGACCAACCTTTATTATTCTCCTAAGATGTGCCAAGCACTGTTATCACTTTCCCAATGCCTTATGCAAAATCAGGAAATGTTTATTGATAAGCAATTATACTTCTAATATTGCTAGTTCTGCTCAATAAGAAGACATTAGAAATAGGCACTAAACATCTGTCTCTGATATTATATGTTTGCTTAAGACAAAGTCTCAGGTAGCCCAAGCTGTCCTCAAACTCATTATGTAGGTGAGGCTAACCTTGAACTCTTGATTCTCCTGCCTCTACCTCCCAAGTGCTATGACTAAAGGCATGTGTTATCACACCCTGCCTTTTTCTTTTTTGTTTGTTTTGTGAGACAAAGACAACCACAAAGGGGCTGGAGAGATGGCTCAGCAGCATGTGGTCTTAACAGACACCTCTAGATTATAAGAGCACCTACACACATGTGTAACATACACACAATTAAAAATAAAATAAATATGATTAAGTCAGGTGTGTTTTACATAGCAAGTCCCAGGCCAAAGTCTCATGTAGCCCAAGCTGTCCTCAAACTCATTATGTAGGTGAGGCTAGCCTTGAACTCCTGATTCTACTGCCTCTACCTCCCAAGTGCTATGACTAAAGGCATGTGTTATCACACCCTGCCTTTTTCTTTTTTGTTTTGTGAGACACAACCACATAGGGGCTGGAGAGACAGCTCAGCAGTATGTGCTCTTAACGGACACCTCTAGCCTACAAGAGCACCTACACACGTGTAACACACACACAATTAAAAATAAAATAAATATGATTAAACCAGATGTGGTTTATACAGCAAGTCCCAGGCCAGCTGGGATTACAGGGAGTCCCTGTCTCCAAAAAGGAAAAGAGCTAGGCATGGTGGCATACACCCAGCACTGGGGGGAAGCTGAGGCAGATATATCTCTGTAAATTCAAAGCCAGCCTGGTCCATATAGGGAATTCCAGGACCTGACCCAAAAAACAAAAACAAAAAAACTAAATAAACATGACTAAAAATAACATAAATCTTTAGTCAGGTATGGAACTCTCCATAGTGAGTTCCAGGCCAGCTGGGGCTACAGGGAGACCCTGTCTCAAAAAAGCCAAAAATAAATAAAATAAAATAAATCTTAAAAAAAAAAAAAAAAAGACAAGCACGCAGCTCAAGCTCACACTTATCTCAAACATGTGTTTCTTGCCTCAGCCTCTTTACTGCTGGATTACAGGTATGCACCTTTTACACACTGTCTCTGATTTTATATGTATGGGTGTATTGCCTGCATGTAGGTAGGTGCACCCATGTTGTGCAATGCCTGTGAAGGTCAGAAGAGGACAACAGATCCCCTGGAACTGGAGTTAAGATGGTTTTTAGCTGCCAGGTGGGTGCTGGGAATCAAACCCAGGTCCTCTGTAAGAGCAGTCAATGCTCTTAACTGCTGAGTCATCTCTCCAGCCCCATGATTTTTAAAAATGAAAGCCTAAAGTGACCTAAGCTGATATGAATTAATATATAATAGAGTAAATTTTTACTTAAGGAAAGAAATCAGTACTAAATTATTATTGTTAGGTTTATAGAGTATGTTCCTGACTTTTTTAGAAAGAAAAAAGAACAAGAGTAGACATGCCTAGAAAGACTATTGGGGGGCTGGTGTGGTGGCACACGCCTTTAGTCCCAGCACTTGGGAGGCAGAGGCAGGCAGATCTCTCTGAGTTCAAGGCCAGCTGGGGCTAAAGGGAGAAAAAGACCAAAAAAAAAAAAGACTATTGGGCTAGTGGCATACCTTTAATCCCAACACTCAGGAGGCAGAGGCAGGTAGATCTCTGTGAGATCGAGGACACCTGGTCTACGTAGGGATTTCCAGGCCAACTGGGACCACAGGGGAGACCCTGGTCTCAGAAAGACCCAAAAAAGGGGGCTGAGAAGATGGCTCAGTGGTTAAGAGAACTAGCTTAACCAAAGGGCTGGGGTTTGCCTTCTAGTACCAATATGGCAACTAACAACCAT